AGCGGCTTGGAGCTTCTTTTTTTTTTTACCCTAACCAAGAACGTGTAAAAGCGAACATTCGATCTTAAAAAGGATCTTTAGATTCTTTTTCCCATTTTACCCCTAATTAGCTGACGTGGTATGCGACTTAGATTATGCGTACGTCACTTGACACGTGTAACAACCTAACTCCACGAGATTTTTTTTTTGTTTGTTTGTCACAACTCCACGAGATTAACCAACGGTTTATGTATATGATATAATCGATTTGGGATTTTTTTTTTCCGGGAGCAAGCAACGATGGCGGTTTCTTCTTTCTCGATCACTCCCATAACTCTGCAGCCGAAGCTGGAAACGATTCATGGATTAGGGCTAGTACTTCCTCGTTACTCGATTAATTCTCACTTTCGTAAAAACCTTACCGGTGTCTCTCTCCGGCGCAACACCGTGGTCGTCTCGGCCATTACCGGCGCTTCGGGTGTGCTAATGTCTTCTCATACTCGATTCCGAATTTCTTACTAGATTATGTGACATGTCGATTTGTCTCCTCCATAGGAACTGGAACCGAGAAAGAGAGTGTTGATTTGCTTGATACAGTGAAAATCTTGGATTTGAAAGGAAATGAGATTCCGATTTCTGATTTATGGAAGGACAGGAAGGCTGTTGTTGCATTTGCTCGTCATTTTGGGTGATTAATCTTTGGAATTTTCTAATGAGATTGATGAATTTTGATTACTATACAAACTATCAAAACTTGTTTGTTATTTGTTTTCAGATGTGTGCTCTGTCGAAAACGAGCAGCTTATCTTGCAGCAAAGAAGGTAATGATTATTCATGTCTATACCTTTGAATGTACACTTATACAATTGAGGTCATGATGAATCACTTTCTGTGATTTTTGTTAGGATGTGATGGATGCATCTGGCGTTGCTCTTGTTTTGATTGGACCGGGCAGTATCGAGCAGGTAAGACATATGAACACACGATTCATTGTAAACATTTTGATTAGTGAATATTGAAAAGAAAGGATGTTACAGTTTTGTGGTGACTGTTCTCATGTTTAGTACAATCTATGCAGGCTAATACTTTTGTGGAACAGACTAAATTTGAAGGAGGTATGCTTCTCATTTACCTTTTGGTTACTAATAAAATCAGGTGAATTCCTTTTATGTGATCATCTAATCTGTAATCAAATTTCTCTCAGAGGTCTATGCAGATCCAGACCATGCATCATACGAGGCGCTCAAATTTGTCTCAGGGGTTTCTGTGACATTTACCCCCAAAGTAGAGTGACTTCTACTTAGCAGATTTTTTGTGATAACCAAAATGTTACGCCTTTGTGGTCTCAGTAGCTTCTTTGGTATTATTCTAGGCCGCTCTGAAGATAATAGAGTCTTACATGGAAGGATACCGCCAAGACTGGAAACTCTCATTTATGAAGGATACAGTAGAAAGGGGCGGCTGGTAAGTTAAAGAGTCGGAATCATTCCTTCGGTCTAGTGATGAGATAAACTTTCTGGTCTCCTTATTAACAATGTGCGTGAACGATGGTCATGGAACTCGTGCAGGCAACAGGGGGGAATCCTAGTTGCTGGTCCTGGAAAAGATAACATCTTTTATATCCGCAAGGTCATCTCTTCTTCTGTTTGTGGAAATATTTAGATTGCTGAACAATGATCTTCGTGTTTATATTGATGTAAAGAACTAGCCTTTACTTTGCGCACGCGGTGTTATTAAGCACATTATCGTATTAAACAATTTTGTTTGCAAAACATTTTCAGGACAAAGAAGCTGGAGATGACCCGCCTATTGAAGAGATTTTGAAAGCGTGTTGCGCTTGAAGGGATCACAAGCAAAGCTTAAAGGCATCACTTTTCTTATTATAGAATCAACCTCTCTTCTCTTCTGGTTCAGAGAACAATGAATCAAAACACCAACGCATATATTCATAAAGATCGCATAGAAGGAGATTTGTTCATAATCATATACTTCATACAATAAACGTGTTCCTTTTGCGCAAAAAAAAAAAAAAATGCTACCGACGGTGTGGTGTATATCACTATATCTGTCTCCTTGTCATTCAATTTTGCAGTTTTGTCTGATTAAAAAAACTAAACAGTTTCTGCTCAAAAACGTGTAAAGATGCTTAAGATCAACAACATTTCAATTTACTTCAAACTCAAGCCAGCTTCAGACTCGTTTCTTTATGATTTGCAATTGTTTGGGCCGAACCGGGCTGGATTATTATGATAAACGGGTCCGATTCAAATTTTTGGCAAAACCCGACCCGAAACAAGATCTTGGATCCAGGACTCCATTTCTTTCCTAAACCCTACCCAGGACTAAAACTCTTGCTCTCTTCATTCCCTTCTTCACTAGCTCGTTTCATGTTGGATTGAAATTTCCAGAAATCCGAAAAACAAAGATTCTATAAACGAAGGTTTTCTGAGAATCCCATTTCGAATCACGGCAATTTCTCTGCTGTAATGGCTTTGATTTCCAGATCTAAACCTTATCAATGGAGAGCTAGGGTTTATCTCTCACTTCCCAGATCGTCAAACTCGTCTTTCCTCTCTCTCTCTCGTTTATTCAGCTCAACAACTGAAGAAATCCAGAATCCATCCACAAACCCAGAACCCCAATCCGCAGATCCTGCAAAACCCGAGACGAAGAATCTGCGTTCTTCAAGACTAAAGGAAGAGAGGCAGCAGCCCAGAGAGAGTTTCCAACGAGGTAAGCGTCAAAACCATGAAAAGCTAGAGGATACAATATGTAGAATGATGGATAATCGGGAATGGACGACCCGTTTACAGAACTCGATCCGAGATCTCGTACCCGAATGGGATAATTCGTTGGTCTATAATGTGTTGCACGGTGCCCGGAAACTTGAGCACGCTCTTCAATTCTTCCGGTGGTCGGAGAGATCTGGATTGATCCGGCATGATAGAGAAACGCATATGAAAATGATTGAGATGTTGGGACAAGCCCAGAAGCTCAATCATGCTCGGTGTATTGTCTTGGAAATGCCTGAAAAAGGTGTTCCTTGGGATGAGGATATGTTTGTGGTTCTCATTGAGAGCTATGGAAAAGCTGGTATTGTTCAAGAGTCTGTTAAAATCTTTCAGAAAATGAAGGATTTGGGTGTGGCGAGGACGATCAAATCGTATGATACTCTGTTCAAGGTGATTCTTAGGCGTGGTCGGTATATGATGGCGAAACGGTATTTCAATAAGATGGTAAGTGAGGGTATAGAGCCGACTCGGCACACTTATAATCTAATGCTTTGGGGGTTCTTTTTGTCTTTGAGGCTTGAGACTGCTTTGAGATTCTTTGAAGATATGAAAACTCGAGGGATATCGCCGGATGTTGTTACTTACAACACTATGATTAATGGGTATGTTCGGTTTAAGAAGATGGACGAGGCAGAGAAGTTGTTTGCGGAGATGAAAGGGAAAAACATTGAGCCTAGTGTTGTGAGTTATACGACGATGATTAAAGGATATCTTGAAGTGGACCGGGTTGATGATGGGTTGAGAATCTTTGAGGAAATGAGATCTTTTGGTATTGAGCCCACTGCTACCACGTACTCGACTTTGTTGCCAGGTCTGTGTGATGCAGGGAAAATGGTGGAGGCTAAGAATATCTTGAAGAGTATGATGGCGAAACACATCGCCCCAAAAGATAACTCTATCTTCCTTAAGCTTTTGGTTTCCCAGTCCAAAGCCGGGGATATGGCGGCAGCCACTGAAGTGCTCAAAGCCATGGCTACACTGAATGTTCCAGCAGAAGCGGGACACTACGGGGTCTTAATTGAGAATCAATGCAAGGCTAATGCGTACAATCGCGCTATCAAGCTTTTAGACATTCTACTTGAGAAAGAAATCGTATTGAGGCATCAAGATACGCTGGAAATGGAGCCCACTGCTTATAACCCAATCATCGAGTACTTGTGCAACAGTGGCCAAACCTCGAAAGCAGAAGTGCTTTTCAGGCAGCTGATGAAAAGAGGTGTTCAAGACCAAGATGCATTGAACAATCTGATCCGTGGGCATGCGAAGGAAGGAAACCCGGATTCTAGTTACGAGATTCTGAAGATAATGTCGAGGAGAGGTGTCCCTAGAGAAGCAAACGCATACGAGCTGCTCATCAAGAGCTACATGAGCAAAGGCGAGCCTGGAGATGCCAAAACCGCATTGGACAGCATGATCGAAGACGGGCATGTCCCGGATTCATCGCTTTTCAGGTCAGTGATTGAGAGTTTGTTTGAAGATGGTAGAGTGCAGACCGCAAGCCGTGTGATGATGATCATGATAGATAAAAACGTTGGCGTGGAAGACAACATGGATTTGGTTGCCAAGATCTTGGAAGCTCTGTTAATGAGAGGGCACGTAGAAGAAGCTCTCGGACGTATAGATCTTCTGAATCAAAATGGACACGCAGCTGATCTTGACAGCCTCTTATCAGTCCTGAGCGAGAAAGGGAAGACGATTGCAGCATTGAAGCTGTTAGATTTCGGGTTGGAGAGGGATCTTAGCTTAGACTTTTCGAGCTATGAGAAGGTTTTGGATGCGCTTTTAGGAGCTGGGAAGACACTGAATGCGTACTCTGTTTTGTGTAAGATCATGGGGAAAGGAAGTGTAACCGATTGGAAGAGCTCCGATGAACTGATCAAGAGCTTAAACCAGGAAGGGAACACAAAGCAAGCCGATGTTCTTTCTAGAATGATCAAAAAGGGACCAGGAATCAAGAAAGACAAGAAACAGAACACTGTCTCTCTATAGAAACTTAAAGAAGTGATTTGTTCTTAGTTATTTTTCTTTCTTTCATTGTTGGTTTCAAGAACTTCTGTTATCCAAATAAATCCTTTTTAAAAAACTTGTTTTGAAGGACACGATTGTATGATTTTGGTAGGAACTGTATCGTTTTTCTGATTTAGGTTTTTAACCACAGTGATTTGTTACTGTTTTTTGAAATTATTTAATTAAAATATATTTTTAAATTTTAAGAGGATTTTCAGTTTTATTTTTTGGTGGGAGCAAGTTGAAGATTTGTGCTGGAACAAGAGTTGCATCTTTTATTGGATTTTTGTAAAAATATCTTATCTTCTCGTAGATTTTTTAGCCTTAGCACGAGACGTGCCATCTCCACTGTCCATCCAAAATTCGACGGCTCAGATTTCATCTCATTCATCATTTCTCTTCAAAGTAGGACAAGTAGTTAGTAGACCCTCCTAACACAACTAATCCAAAGTG